CTAATCTCTGGAGCGACTGGACCGATTTTGACAGATTTTCATTGATAGGTAGCTGATGATATAGGAAGTAACTTAGGCTACTTTTTTAAACTAGCTTCGCCCCGCGGCGTGACCCGCGGTACGACAATAACCGCGGGTGCGATGTTATACGCGGTTATTGTTGTACAAAATTTTAAATTAAAATTTAATGTTTCCCAAGCGAAGCGAGGGCGGGTTGCTAGTTCTCTATAAATGTGGAAAATTTCATACTCCTCCTACCGTGCAATTACCGTAAAAAGGAGTACGTATTAATATACTGATATAGTGAGATATCCGACGAGAGGTAATAAGGAGAGAAATAATCGTGTGGTTCGAAGGAAACGGGTGTTTTATTTTTTACCACTATAAAGGGTCCGCCATCTAACGTTTTTTTCTTCAACTAGTGCTTATTTCGTGAATGGTAACACTTACCTCATGTCTGATTTGACAGATAATTAGTTTTATCCTTCCACTGAACGAATATAGTTGTGTATATGCTTGAACAACGCTGGGAAATATTGCGACATTACTTTGAAAATCATGGTGATGTTGCAGAATGTGTGCGAAAATTGCGTAGGGATTTTGGAAGAAGAGAAGCACCGTCAGCTCCGTATGTTCGTTATCTCGTGAAAAACGTGAAAGAAACTGGCATCCTCATCGATAAACAAAAGCGTGAAAAGCCAAAAACAGTGCACCCGAGAATATAGCTGCTGTGGCAGAAAGTATGCGTGAAGCGCCATCAACATCAATTCAACGTCGTTCTCAACTATTGAACATTTCGGAGACATCATTGAGACGAATTTTGCATAAAGACCTTGGTATGAAGCCATACAAAGTCCAATTGGTTCAGGAGTTGAAGCCAACTGACCATCCAATGCGTTTTCGCTTCGCTAAGTGGGCCTGCGATCGACTTACAGAAGATGCCGATTTTGCCAAAAAAATCATCTTTTCAGATGAAGCTCATTTTGATCTTGGCGGGTATGTAAACAAGCAAAATTGTCGCATTTGGGGCACAGAAAATCCGCACGCATACATTGAAAAACCGACGCATCCAAAACGAGTCACTGTTTGCTGCGGATTTTGGTCCAGAGGCATAATTGGGCCTTTTTTTTCGAAAATGAGCACGGAGTGGCCGTTACAGTCAATGGAGATCGTTATAGGGCCATGTTGAACGAATTTTTGTTCACAAAAATTTAAGAGGAGGATATTGGCAACATTTGGTTTCAACAGGACGGCGCTACGTGCCACACAGACGAAGCTAAACTCGATGTTTTGCGCCCTGTTTTTGAAGATCGCATTATCAGCCGCAGAGCTGATGTCGTTTGGCCACCTCGGAGCTGCGATTTGACACCGTTGGACTATTATTTGTGAGGTGCCGTCAAACATAAGTGTAACGCCGACAAGCCAGAGACAATTGACGCTTTAAAGGACAATATTCGTGAAGCCATTGGTGAAATACAGCTGCACACAACCGATAACGGGCTTAAAAATTGGACCGATCGTTTAGGCTACTGCATGACCAGCCGAGGCAGCTATTTGAATGAAATTATTTTTCATTATTAACCGGAAGAATTGTACTTTCAAATAAAAAAAGAAATTTAAAAAAATATTCAGTAGTTTTTTTTATAGCATTTTCAAAAAAAAGTTATCTGGCGGTCCCCTTAAATGACAAATTTTTATATCTGTTGTCACGTGTATCTGTTAGCCCAAATCATTACGTAAAGCTAAGTGCGATTTGAGTTAATGTAATTATTGTCGTCATTAAAAACGTCAAAAAAAATTAATCAGTGTTGCATGAACGTGTCCAGTTTTTTGTTTTGACTGAAGCAATATTATTCCTGCTATTTATTTCAATCAAAACGTATTGAATTTGTTTCGGTTACGTAATTTCTCGAAACAATTAATCTTTATCAGATATGCGTTATTCAATTTTATAGCTTAATGTTGAAAGTAACGCCCGATTTTGCCACGATTTTTATATTTATGAAATTACTAGTATTGATACAGGCGACCCTTCTATAAACACGGTATTGCTACGCCGGTAAAGGTAGCGCCACCTATCGCCGAATACTCGAAACGAATATCAGAGGAACTAGTAACGTTGAGAGCGCTCGAGAAGTACAACGCCATCTATTGTTAGATAGCGGAAACACACATAGAAGCTACTCGACTTGCCCAGAATGTTCTCGATAAATCTAGGGATGTCGTATCAACTATAAACGCGTTGCAGAGATGGCACGCAGTCAGTTAGTATTCGGTACTACTCGTAGCGAAACAGTGAAGGGGTCACCTGAAGCGAAAAAGTGAATTGAAAATTTTAAAGTGCTTGTTAAGTGTTTTAAGTTTTAATACAGTTTCAATTTATATTTCGGTAGAACTTTTATTTCCCGAACCCAGCGCGTAAGAGTGTTTTACAACACGGTTCCACTCTTAGCACGAACAGTCCAAAACCCATTTATAACACGGTACTTCTACAACGCGATAACGAGATTTTTGTTTAAAATTATTTAGAAAATTACATTATGCACTACGAGCACTCAATATATGGGAATAATAGAAATTTTTCTGCTTATATTATATGTATGATAGGTAAAAACATACATAACGCCATAGTTGCGATATTTCTTTCAGAAAAATTACTCTCCTCTTTGTATTGGCTTCTAGTCTCATATAACGCGCTTTCGCACTACGCGGGACGTTATAGAGATATATCTACCGGGTTATAGGAGCGTTAACTCTATTTACAACATACCCGATACAACATACTCCTGTAGCCCGAATGGTAAACAGTCGACGTCGCCCTAAGCACGTCATTACGGATCCTCCCGATCCATTAACGGTGCTTTTAGGTACCACAAGCACCAGTTGCCGTCTCGTCGAACCCGTCGCTTGCGATGAAGGGCTCGACGAGTGAATTAACCCATAGACACAGCCCACTGAGTTTCTCGCCGGATCTTCTCAGTAGGTCGCGTTTCCGATCCGGTGGTAGATTCATTCCGGTGCTAGGGCCAGTGTTAGCAACACTCCCGGTTTGAGCCCCGTAAGCTCACCTACACGTCAAGGAGAAGCTGATATAGCCTCTCAAAGCTATCAGCATAGGTTTCAACCTCAAATCTCTAGGTGGGTTACGGCATTCAGGAAGTGTTGTCCGTAGACTTAAAAAAAAACACAGTACTCTTCCTATTCATGTAATGGCTGACATATTTTTTTATTGAGATCTCTATTGAGATGTATTTAAGCTTGTTACACTTGTTTATCTATTAGAACGTGTGATTTTTTTTTATAGTAAACATATTGATTTTTAAATTACGATTTCTTATTACACTTTTTTATGTCTCTGTAGCTCTCTTATTGTGGTTTTACTAGAACAAAACTCATGAATGAATTAGGCTTGCTTTAGTTTTTGTGCGTTTTTTAATGCATGTTTCACTACATAGTATAAAACAAAGTCGCTTTCTCTGTCCCTATATCTGTCTGTCCCTATGTATGCTTAAATCTTTAAAACTACGCAACGGATTCTGATGTTGTTTTTTTAATAGATAGAGTGATTGAAGAGGAAGGTTTATATGTATAATAACATCCATTAAAAAGTTGAGAAATCAATAATAAATTGGCGTTTCCGAAGCGAGGGAGGGTCGCTAGTATATTATAAAAAAAAGGGTACAATAATGAGGAATCTATATATGTTTCTGACTAATCAGCTAATCTTTCCAACGATGAATGTTTATAAAATATAATGCAATATTACACTAACAATAATAGCATTGTATTACATTATCTCGAACAAAGACCACATTATTACGTATTGAATTCGCGACATCTGAAGTCACAAGCATAGATTAAACATATGAGGGCGAAAATTGCGCCAAAATTTTTATTCATAAAAGGTCCGCTCGTGGCAAAGGTTACTCGCTTATAAACGAGTATTTAGTGTATTATCTATGGTTACTCGTTCGAAATGTGTTCAATAGTGAAGGCTTTAATTTTTTTAAATTTTTCGCTTTTATGCGCGGCCAGCTACCACGAGCAGTATAGAGGTGAAATTTTATTTACTTTTTTTTGTGTTATCGTTGTGTGAATTATGTCAAATTTGGGATACATTATAAGGATAGTACTTAACTCAAAGTCGCTGAGCTATAAGTGTGCGTGTTGAGATTATGAACTTGGAGCAGTAATAATAATAGCTTCTAGAAACGAATTAAGAGTAAGTACACTTGTTCTGGGTAATATGGATGAATTTGTCTCCGATGGCGGGGGGCGGCTAAAAACGAGTCGACACGATCCTTTCAAATATAGAGTGACAGTGAGCATTTAATATCATTAGACAGGGCCGTATGTTCTTTTTGCAAAAAAATTAAAATTTAAGAACTATATTGACGAGGTGTCGTATTTTTTGGAGCGGTCCAGTGTCACTCGGGTCTCAGGGTCATCTCGATGTTGTCGACTGATCCAAAAACTAGAGACCAGAAAAATCTATGTGCGACTGCTTTGAGAAATTCCTCGGGATGAGCCTCTCATCTTGAATGAATTTCCCTTAATGATGTTTCCCCGGCAGTATGTCTTTCTTCAACGGGGTTTGCGAAAATCTTGACAGTAGTAACAGACTATGGACCATATGCGTTTTTCGACAATGGCAATTAAAAAAAACCACCAAAAAGACCCCATTGCCTTTCCGTCATACTAACTGCTCTGGCTTTAAAATAAAAACAACTTCCGACAAACAAACCTTCGTTCTTCAAACGAGGCTTAAGGAGAGTTCTTACCAGTAGGCAGCGGCTTGACTCTGCCCCTGGAATTGCTGACATCCATAGGCGACGATAGCCATTCATCACCGTATTCTCGTGGACCGTATTCTCGACTACTTATAAGGGCAATTAAAAAAAAAGAGTGTTTCAGGGAAAAACTCCGTACATGCCGGTAGTCGTACACTTGATTACACTTTAGGCCATTGCATGTAAGTGTATTTTATTCAAAATTTTCAGTGCCACAGACAATATCAAATAATTGGGAATCTTACGTCTTCAATGGCAAGGAGTATATTTTACATAATCTGGGAGTTAAATGGGAGAACGCTGAAATTTTATGTAGGTTAGTATACAATTGTAATATTTGTTGTCCAAGCTTCTGATATTTGTCGTGCCCGCAACATGGTAAGCAAAGTGTATCTTAGATAGTCTATGCTAGCTTTTGTTGTCTAGTTAACCGCCTATATTGCACAACAACTTCAGCGGCCCAATCTCGCTTTTGTTATTTTCATAGCACCATCCACGTCATATCAGATCCTCCCGATCCATTAACGGTGCTTTTAAGTACCTCAAGCACCGGTCATCGTTCTCGTCGAACCCGTCGAGCGCGACGAAGGGCTCGGCGAGTAAACTAACCCATAGACACAGCCCACTGAGTTTCTCGTCGAATCTTCTCAGTGGGTCGCGTTTCCGATCCGGTGGTAGATTCTGCGAAGCACTGCTTAACATTAACGGCCGTCTGGTGTAGTGGTAAGTGACATGGTCACTACATACGGGGGTCGCGGGTTCGAATCCCGCCAAGGGAAGATATTTGTATGATAAATTTTAATATAAATGTCTTTTCCAGGGTTATGGATGTATATTAAATATGTGTAAGTGTATAATAAAAATCTTACATTTATTTCCGTTATCTGGTACTTGTAACACAAGTTCTTTACGAACTTATCACGGGACCAGTTAACGTGGCGTGATTGTTAGTAAATATTTATTATTATTATTATTATTATTACTGCTCTTGCTAGGGCCAGGCTTGAGACCCGTGAGCTCACCTACTCGTTAGCTTACGCTGGCATAGCCTCTCAAGGCTTGATATACATAATTTTTATGGGCATTTATTTTGTGTGATGATTTTTAGGTTAGAATTTTAATTCGAGCTCATCATTTTTATTAAAATTATTTCAACCACAATACATCAAAAGGCTGATTAATGTTTTAACGGATTGTTAGTTACATAAAATGGAAATAATAAACACGAGAATAAAGCGTAAAATAATTTTCACCGTTATAATCGGCATTTTGTAAAAAACGTCATCGGTATTGGCGGGAGCCGTTGGCATTACTTCGAGTGTCCATTTTGTTTTTATTGCAGAGGCTACCACAATGGATCTTTAGCGATTTTGGACAAGAAAGAGATAGCGGAGTTCTTAGCTGAAGCATTATCGGAGTCCCAGTTCGGTTCGTATTCTGAATGGATGTGTCACCGTCCTCGCCGAATCCGTCGCTAACGACGAAGGGCTCGGCAAGTAAATTAACCCACAGACACAGCTCACTGAGTTTCTCGTCGGATCTTACTGGTGGTAGGACCTCTTGTGAGTCCGCACGGGTAGGTGCCACCACCCTGCCTATTTCTGCCGTGAAGCAGTAATGCGTTTCGGTTTGAAGGGTGGGGCAGTCGTTGTAACTATACTTGAGGCCTTAGAACTTATATCTCAAGGTAGGTGGCGCATTTGCGTCGTAGATGTCTATGGGCTCCAGTAACCACTTAACACCAGGTGGGCTGTGAGCTCGTCCAACCATCTAAGCAACAATAATAAAAAAAAGTGGGTCGCGTTTCCGATCCGATGGTCGATTGAGCGAAGCACCGCTCTAACTAGGGTCAGTCCTATCAACACCTTCGGTTTGAGCCCCAAGAGCTCATCTACACGCTAGGGTAACGCTGATATAGCCTCTCAAGGCTATTAGCATAGGCAGGAAAAAATTAAAAAATAAATAAAACGGAAATGTTGTTGAACGTTGACGCCAAGTCACGGAAAGACGTTCTCGTCGGTAGTGTAGCCCGTACTAGATACTATACTAGAGTACTGATTCGCACCCAGTGTCATTGCTAGATATAAAAAAAATTTTTTTTTGTGAAAAAACAAAAGAAAAAAAAGGCCCCTTACTTTATTTCGCCGGTTCTTCTCAGGACTGTGGCTTTTTGGCTTTTTTTGGAACCGGTGGTAGAGTTAACATTGTTATTTATATTTTGACATTCAACAAGTGTGTTATGCTGACATCTAAGTTGAATTAAATGATTTTGAATTTGAATTTTGAATATTCTGGATTCGCGACCCACTCATGTCGTAAATGTATTTGACTGTGTGGTTGTTGACGGTTCATGGGGTCAGATAAGCTCAATAAAAGCGTGTTCAGTTCACATCCGATTGAAGGGAAACTTTTAGATGTGTACTATCATTCTCCAGCCAGTTAGTTAGTATAGAGGTATAATATGTTCGTCGCTTTTTCGTTTCATTCGCAGTTCAAATTACAAAGCTACAGACGGCTTAAGGTCAAACTTCGCTTAGGTTTATAGTTTTCAAAGATAACAGACGCGAACACGGCCTGATCATGTTCACGTCACTGGCTTGGAGTACAGCCAATCAGCTTTCTTCCTCATTGTCTCTTCTCGTATGAAGAAGGCCGCATCATAGCACTCGTAAGCAATGAGAAGTCAACTCCGGACGGCACGTAGAAAGCGTCTACTGAAATGCACTATTGATTAATATTATTACTTAGTCTTCTTATGTAGCGACGAAAACTTTTCGAAAACTAAGTAATGTATTACAAAATTTTCGAGAAAGTAATGTAAAGCATCCAAAAATTAGAGGTCAACAATCGCTTGTGGAATGCAGATATAGATTCAATATGGGTGGGCGCTAGAAGGGATACGGCAGACGACCCCGAAGGCTACAGATGGGCTCAAGGTGTGGAACTGAAACGGACTGATGCAGACGTCCTGACGAGTGAGCTGGCCGGCGATAACCTGCACTATCCGATTGTGAGTTTGAATGAATAAATGAAATTGTAATTCATATACTAGCGCCATCTGTTTTTAAGGGATATTTAAATTAGCTGACACTTAACAGATGGCGTTTTAAGGTTGGCCCTTATAACCTCCTCCTCCTTCTCCCTGAGTCGCATTCCTCATATCTGAGGGTCGTGACCATCTCCTCCCATTAATTATCCTTATTTGGATGATGTTTCGCCATCTTCCTCTGTTCTCAGCGGTGTGTATGACATCGCAGACGGTGGTATCCAGAGCGGTGCGGATTTGGTCGGACCAGCGCATTGGAAATTAACGCCAATTTAATCTTCAGGATTCCCTCCCTACGTTGGATAGTGATCATCAACGTCCCTTGATATCGGCAATTCCTTCCTTACTACCCAGCTATTAAGGTTTCTATTTCAAACTCTCTACCTATCACCGTACCGAGTGTGCATGGTATTTATGTAAATATTCCATATATTCGGCTACAATCTTCCAAGATATAGCACAACTCTGAACTGCTCAACCTTTAAGAACGATGCAATCGCGTATACCGGCTTAAAAGGTACACCATCTTGAACAAGTTATTTTCTCGTCTCAATTCAGTGGGTGAACAGAACCGGAGTGCCAGTGCCCGAGGGTGGAGCAGATTGCGTCGCTCTGGAGAGGGTGCAACACGATAGACCTGTGTTCCTAGATTTACCGTGTGGAATCGAAAGGCCGTTCTCCTGTGAAAGAGGTAAGTGTACTCGAAGTCAGAAGTGATTAGGTGGACTTTTCCACATAAATTTACGGGACATGTTGAACGTAATGATTTGCTTAGAACAGTCTTTCTCAAAGTGGGCGATAACGCCCCCTTGTGGGCGCTGCAGCCCTAAAAGGGGGCGGTAAGAGATTCAGAAAAAAGGGGGCGTTGTCTAGAGGCTTGGGAAGCGATTTGTTATTTCATCTAGGAGGGACTCTTAGAGACTAATTGAGCTATAGTGGTTTTTAATAGGTGAAAAAATGGGGGTGCTAAAAATAATTTATTCTCAAAGTGGGCAGTAGACAAAAAAGTTTGGGAGCCTCTGGTTTAGAATTACTGAGCCCTGGAATATATCAGATTTATTTATGTTACCGTTGATAGACAGACAGTCTCATAGGTCAAGCATTGACCAGATATCGCCGTCATAAAGTAAACACCACCACGCATCCCATTTAACATAGAAATAATATTTGTATTGCATTCTGGTCATAGGGAGTATTTTGTGCCGACATGGGAGAATACCAATATCCTGTCTATTCCTACTTAAGAGTAGGTAGGTTGTATAAGTACAATTTTGTTGAGACTTCGATCAATCTTAAGATGGGTGGTGGTATTCACGTTGTGAGGTCTAGAGTAGCAGAGCATCTTGAAACCAAAAAGTTCTCGAAACAATAAAAAATAAACAAAAAAAACATATCACTCTCAAGCAATTACTATCAACTTTATCTAGGCAATCGTCGGTGACGTAATTTTATTCTAGAAACATTTAATGTCCGAGTTCTTAGATTATTTCATTGCTCTGTTTAGTGGTTACTGGAGCCCATAGACATCTACAACGTAGATGCCGCCACCCACCTTGAGATATGAGTTCTAAGATCTCACGTATAGTTACAATGGCTGCCCCGCCCTTCAAACCGAAACGCATTACTGCTTCACGGCAGAAATAGGCAGGGCGATGGTACCTACCCGTGCGGACTCACAAGACGTCCTACCACCAGTTTAAAGTCAACTATCAACTATTAATTTGATTTATGTTGTTACTGTCAGCTATTTACTGCCCGACTTTTTGGTGGACCAACTAAACGTATTGCTCTTATCATCATCAGCCCACATTCGTCCACTGCTGGAATTATGGACCATTACTCCGTTCAGCCCGTTCTTTGATTCTCCTCATCCATTACATGACTTGGGTGGCCAACAAGGATTGGATGAAGAGTGTTGCTCTCTTTGTTACCAAAATAAGTCAATTAAAGATGTCGCGTCAGTTCTTTTAATTAATTCTTAAATGAATTGATACTGATGATTCATTCTAGAAGCGAGAGCTGATATCAGAGTACGGGAGTCGGGCATTGTGAGATGCAGGTCCGGATTGTATCACGTTTACAGTGGTCAAATGGATTGGCATCAAGCAGCTACGCATTGCATTATGAACAAGATGAGGTAACAATTTAATAATAAAATGTTCACGTGCTCTAGTGCTGAAGAACATCCCTACTATAACCTACCGAGGGATTAGAATGAGCTTCTTAACTAGGTTCCTACCCTCCAAATCTATGACAAGATGTGTTTGGGGGAGTGAATAAAAGAGTCCCGGCACGAAAGGTCTTAAGAGTCGGAATCTCGGCTGGTTCATCAGTAGAGCTCTGAAAATGTAAGATAAGATCGTGACTACAATACAGACTACAATGCCATACTGGGTTTCTCATTGGATCTTCTCAGCGGGTCGTGTTTCCGATCCGGTGGTACATTTTGCGTAGCGCTGCTCTTGCTAGGGCTAGTGTTAGCAACGTGCTCTGGTTAGAGCCCCGTGAGAATACCTATTCGCCCGGTTACGTTGGCATAGCCCTCTAGGTTACCAGCTTTTAGACTTTTTACCTTTTCTTCCTACCTGCTGAGGTAGGAAAAAAAAACGATTGCGACTGTTATAGAAGTTTATTAGCAACAATTGCTATCTGAAGTCTAAGTATTGATCTATAGTATTCCCGTTTTTTGGATACAAGTGTACGATATAGCATCTGGTCTAAAATGTGATGCTAGTTTTCTTTATTTATCCGCTTAATAATATTAATATTTGCATGTACGTCTGTCCTGTGTTTCTAACCGTTCGTTTGATTCTGGTCAAACTTAGTTGTTCTTGATACTCCAGGAGAGGATCCTGACAGTTAACGAATGCCATGTGGCGAATGCGTAGATTCAAAAAATCGATTTTTTTTCACATAATCTTGGCGCGGCGTGATCACTATTTCATTAGTCTTGTTTGTTTTCAGCCTGGCAACTATTAACTCGATGAAGTGCTTGAAGAAACTCGGATTGGCCATGCTGAAGGCGAGGCCTAGTGAGTTAATTATGAACTCTATTTTATATGACTCTAAGAACATATTGCAGCGCAGGGTCGACGTTAGGGACTTTTTCTGGCAGCGGCTTAGCTGTGCTCTGGTGATGCCTGAAGCCATGTTCCATGTTAACAACTCCAAACAGGCGACTCTTGTGATATACCAACTAGAAAAACTTTTTTGTGGTTGCTTAGGTGGATGAATGATCTCACGGCCCACCTGGTGTTAAGTGGTTACCGGAGCCCACAGAAATCTACAAAGTAAATGCCGCCACCCACCTTGAGATATGACTTCTAAGGTTTCAGTTTTTACAGTACAACACGGTTTTACAGCACACTTCACGGCAGAAATAGGCAGGGTGGTGGTACCTACCCGTGCAGACTCACAAGAAGTTCTACTACCAGTAATAAAAGAGAGCTTTTGCAGAGCTTGACTAACAGAATTTACCAACACAAGCCAATAATAAGAAAGTAAAAGTAAATAATTAAAAAAAAAATAAGAAGGGAAAGCAATCAGAAGGGGAAGGGAAAGTAAGATTATTTTCCCTTTAAGTTATTAGGTTGCACCCGATTTGGTTTCAAAGTCAGTTTCGTTACACCCTGTCCATTATTACGTGAAACATAATTACTTACATTCTGTCTTTGTACCCTTTGTTAAAATTGACTGCATTGTTTTTTTTTTGCATTTGAACGAAATAATTACTTAGTGTTTAAATTGAGATTTTTGTTTATGTTTAATCGGCAATCTTATTATCAAAAATACATTTTATTAGATTTGTATTGCTCTCACAGGAGCCCACAGCAAGCACGTTAATGGGGTATATTTCCGAATTGTAATTATTATTTAACGTTTGTTCTGCCCTTCCAATTGATTGCTGTGGTAACAATTTGCATTTTTTGAAGTGAAACTTGTTTAGAATCGTTGTGATGTAATTGCAAACTCGATGAAACGAAAAAATGAAACGTGAAGTTAAAATATCAATACACAGAGGGCGCTACCTCATAATATAAAAGATGATTTACAATTATTTCTATATAGTTTGTTATCAACAGATGTCGCTGCACATAAATTCAACTATTCCTGAATCGCGGTGACGAGATGTTCACAGTTGATAGATGTTCTCATATTTCTGTTGCTAAATCATACTTACCTGGCGTAGGGATACCGTGATCATGCAGGCGGTTCCCCCAGGGTGAGGCTGCTCCATTGCACTGCAGAGTGGTTGGTGGTTGACCCTTGCGATTATTCTAATTTTTTGTATAAATTTCACTTCTACCGTGTGTGACTTGCACACACACACAAACACACACATTTTTTTGCCTACCTATTCTGGTAGCTCCGAGGGGTTATACCAGCTTTACTCTGCATGTAAGCAAGCTCACAGATCTCAGCCTGGCGAATTTTCAGTGCGATATTAACGAATCACGCGTAAGCAGTCCAAGCCGTCCTACAACCAGTTGGTACAGTACATCAATCACTTTATTATCACGGTATTAACTCAGAAAATATTGCTATACAATCCGACGATTGTCTTAGTGAGCACAAAGGTCGCGGGAAGTCGTCGTGGCCTAAAGGATAAGAGGTCCGGTGCATTCGTATTTAGCGATGCACCGGTGTTAGAATCCCGCTGGCGGGTTCCAATTTTTCTAATGAAAACGTACTTGACAAATGTTCACGATTGACTTCCACGGTGAAGGAATAACATCTGGTGGTGGTAGGACCTCTTGTGAGTCCCCATGGGTAGGTACCACCGCCCTGCCTATTTCTGCCGAGAAGCAGTAATACGTTTCGGTTTGAAGGGTGGGGCAGCCGTTGTAACTATACTGAGACCTTAGAACTTATAACTCAAGGTGGGTGGCGCATTTACGTTGTAGATGTCTACGGGCTCCAGTAACCACTTAACACCAGGTGGGCTGTGAGCTCGCCCACCCAACTAAGCAATAAATAAAAAAGATAGAGAGTGATGTTCTAGAATATATCATAGTCAACTGGCTTGACGTATTCCGAATTAAATTGCTGTGCAGGTATCGAGAATGCGTGGATCGGGGCGAAAGGGAGACTAGGTAATTGGACGTGGATCGATACTGGCGCGTCCATCATACAGCCAACTAACGAGGCTGAATTAAACAATGAAATATGGCCGCCTTTAAGGTAAGCTTCATCTTGAGAAATCTCGTGTTGCTAAAATCGAAGTTCAAAATAGTTTACAAGTAAAATGACAACGTTCCCTCGTGACATTTTTAAATTGGTTAACGATCACACGGCCCAGTCGGTGTTAATTGGTTACCGGAGCATATAGACATCTACAACGTAAATGCCGCCACCCACCTTGAGACGTGAGTAAAGTTGTAAAGTATCACTTTTAACAGTAAAACGGCTGCCCTGCCCTTCAAACCGAAACGCATTACTGCTTCACGCAGAAATAGGAAGGATGGTGGTACCTACCCGTGGGACTCACAAGACGTCCTACCACCAGTAAAAGTCCTACCACTAGTAACGTCCTACCACCAGTTCAGTAGTTAATGAAGTTTCTCTGAAACTAATTGCGTGAGATAAAAGCATGATGGATGTTTTTACTTCCATGCTTGATCTGAGTATGCAACATCAGCGGTATTGTCTCACGGGACACTTTTCGCCTTTCGAACACCAGTGAAATTCCTCTAGGCCTCTTAAATAAAATATTTTCCAAAACGACTAAAACCTCTTTAAATGCCCTATTTATTTTGTATTTACCTAAATAGTACATTGTGCACCAAGGGAGAAAAGTTGGAAATGTCCAACTTTTCTCCCGCGGGGCACATACTATTTTTTCTCCTACAAGACCGAAAGTTCGTGGAGTACAGAGCCGGGGTCCAGGGGCGAAGCCCTGGCCGGGGGTAGGAGGGTGGAGCCCCCGTACTCATAAAAAAACAATTCAACTGTTTTTTAACTTTTAAATAAACTACTACTGATTGAATAAGAACTGCCTGATGAACTCATCTTTGTTTAATTTTTATTACTGGTGGTAGGACCTCTGGTGAGTCCACGCTTACCACCACCCTGCCTATTTCTGCCGTGAAGCAGTAATGCGTTTCGGTTTGAAGGGTGGGGCAGCCGCTGTAACTATACTTGAGACCTTACAACTTATATCTTAAAGTGGGTGGCGCATTTACGTTGTAGATGTCTATGGGCTCCAGTAACCACTTAACATCAGGTGGGCTGTGAGCTTGTCCACTCATGTAAGCAATAAAAAAAAAATGGCTGACCATGGCTGCCAAGCAGACCATGGTCAGACTGATCATATTGTATGGATGCAAAGCATGGACCCTTAGAAGAAAGAATTGGTAAAACTCCTAATAACTGAGCAATACCAATTGAGAAACAAACTAGAGCCAGCTTAGAGGGATGACGGATAAAGATGTGGGGGAGCTTTGAACTAAATATTCTAGGAGGAAAAAGCGCTGGGACTCAGCTCGAGCGTGTAGTGTGGAGGGAGCAGGGTCGTGATATGAAGCGGGTGTAACAGAGCGACGCCGCCTGTAAGAAGGCCCAATTATCGCTGGTCGGACGATGTGAAAGGGGATTTACGCAAGCTTAAAGTTCCGGACTGGCAAAGTGTTGGGCGCCGTTTATTGTCGGAGGCTAAGATTCACTTCTAAGTGATAGGCCAGCGCAGTAGTTGTAGCACTTGTAGTTCCGACGCTCACCGTTTTCAGACTTCTCAGTTCCGCGACCGACAGATGTCGCTGTGTGAGGATTATGTGACGTTTGGAGTTAGCAACAACATTTAATTTTATTATTCTGTGCCCAAAATTTCTTAGTTAGGGTTGTAATTAAATTCGAACATACAGATAAAACGAATATAAATCATTAAAGAAAAAAACTAGCGAAATATATAAAACAAGACCTTAATATTATTGTTTTAAAAAATGTATCCTAGATATATCGAATTGTGCAATATAAACATTTACTAAGGTTTTGTATTTCAGTAATGATGGACACGAAACAAGGTTTTCGTGAAAGCTTGTACTTTGTAGGTTTAATAAGAGCTTCGGGCAATCATTGATTAGGATTTTTACAATGATCATTAAATGTATGTGAAGGAATTTAACGATTTGTCTTGCAAGGCATACCACCTCCTTAACGATTTTTTTTCATCTGCACGGGAAACACTAAGATTGAGCTGCGGGAGTGGGGAAGGTCTTTTATGTACATAATATATTTGACTGGTTTGTTTTGTTTTTAAAGTTTAAAAAAGCTTTTTTTTTTATTCTTACACTTAAGCCCTGAATACACGAACACCATTTCCTACTTACTTTTTTTTTTCCTTTCTTTCTCGCTTTTGTTACTTAGATTAAAGTACAATTTTGCCAACGTCGGGTAGTGGAGGTATCAACATAATTATGCTAGGAAATTTACATAACATTTACAGGCATGAACTGAAAATAGAGTTACCTATTTAGTTTTACAATTTTTGTATTTAACAGTTAGTAGGAACTACAATTTTATATTGTTAGTGTCTATGAATGATGCAAGCGAGTAGACTACCTTTTTACTGGGGAAAGTTAATAGAAAGTTCATGTTGATCGGGAAGGGGATTATGTTTTTTAATAAAGTATATAGGGAATCACAATTATTGTTACTTACTTGTTTGGCCTTTGCCTTTGTAACACTTTTTTTTTTTTTTTTTTTCCTACCTAAGATGAGATAGCCTTGAGAGGCTATGTCAGCGTAACCCTAACTTTAGTAGGTGAGCTCACGGGGCTCAAACCTGACGATGTTGCTAACACGAACCCTAGCAAGAGTCGTGCTTCGCAGAATCTACCACCGGATTTGTAACACATAAATTAGTGCTTTAAAACAGAAATAAATACACAAAAATTATTTACGAATGATAGTGTTAATTTTATGACATGGTATGGACACGTGATGCGTAGAGAGAAGATGCATGTGACTAGGAGATGTATGGAAATGGTAGTGCGAGGTAGAGGGGGAAGAGGTCGACCGAAGAAGACACGGATGGAGTGTGTGAATGACGATATGAGAGAGAGAGGAGTGAGTGTTGAGATGGCGGTTTATAGAGGAAAATGGAATAGAAAAATTCACTGTACCGACCACGCCTAGTGGGATTAAGCGGAGGCGAAGAAGAAGTGTTAATTTTATTAAGATTTGCTTATTTAAGGTTAAGTATTATATTTATTTCCACAGTGTGCTTCCCGAGATCTTTTTTGCCACGTACCATACGGCTTTAGAATGAACTCCCCTCCACGGTGTTCCCCGAGCGCTGTGACATGTCCTTCTTCAAACGAGGCTTGTGGAGAGTACTTAACGGTAGGCAGCGGCTAGACTCTGCCCCTGGCATTGCTGAAGTCCATGGGCGACGGTAACCACTCACCATCAGGTGGACCGTATGCTCGTCTGCTTACACGGGCAATAATTTTTTTTTTTAAATATAACTATCGTCTTAGAGAGCGTAAACAAAAAAAAAATATTTCTTTTTAGGGATAGAAACATGAAACAAAGCGGCTGTCTTCAACTCGACAGACACTCTTCGAAGAGTCCTTTATTCTTGGAAGCTAGATGCGAACGGAAAATGCAATTTATTTGTTATAAAGGTAAATACATAGCTTAACTCATTTACGTTAAGACATATAGTAAACTCTATTCTATTCTATCAGCCCATGGACGTCCACTGCTGAACATAGGCCTCCCCCAAGCCTCGCCACAAAGACCGGTCCTGCGCTGCATCCAGCGGATCCCCGCGAACCTCAATAGGTCGTCGGCCCACCTTGTGGGAGGCCTACCCACGCTACGTCTTCCAGTACGCGGTCGCCACTCAAGAACCTTCTGGCCCCAACGGCCATTCGTTCCGCGAGCAATGTGTCCTGCCCACTGCCACTTCAGTGTCGCAATCCTTTGGGCTATGTCGGTTACCATGGTTTTCCTGCGAAGCTCCTGATATAAATAGTAAGCTCACACGAGTAGATACTACCATTGTGCTCATTTTTGCCGCGAAAAAACTTAAAGGGCGCGACAGCTGTTGTGTTATAAAGGCTCCGATTTTCGCTTGAAACTTCTTGGATGATGAAATCAGTCTACTGTGTGCTTAATGCGACTGTAGCATAGGCTAACTATGCATATTATATATCGAGGGATATTTTTTCCCAATTTATACTTTATAATAATACTAGCGGCCCGCTCCGGCCCCGCTCGGGTCTTTAACAAAAATTTCAACGATATTTGATGTTGTTTTATTTTTTTAAATAAAAGAACATTTATTGCGGTATAACTATAATAGTTAGACATATGATGCCGCGACACTTTTTGGTAATAATAATATTATTATGTTCTACAAAGTCTTAGTACATTATTTTATTCTATCATCGATAGTATTCGCAGGGCACGCGATCTAAAGAATACTTTAGGTAATTTTTTTACACCTTGGGTTATATTATTGGAGTTTTAGTAAGGATCCCTAATTTTTTTCAAAAAATATTATCGCCTATGTCACTCGGGAATAATGTAGCTTCCAAACTGTGAAAGAACTTTTCAAATCGGTTCAGTAGTTTCGGAGCCTATTCAATACAAACAAACAAACAAATCTTTCCTCTTTATAATATTAAGGATAGATGGTAAAGTTGCAAATAGCCACCTCTCAGTATATAATAAAATCCATTCACTAAACTTTACTATTCGTAACACATACAGTGTGCTTAGTGCGAGTTTTTTAAGGTTCTCGATGGCGATGGCGTTGGAACGTTTGCCTACGTTGACCGCTAGGGGCGCTGTTCTAATTGCATACAAATTTGAGTTAACTTTTACGCTATCGAGAACGTTAAGAAACTCGCACTAAGCACACTGGCCTAGTCACATTAAAAATCAAAATGGAATCTACGCATTATTTTTTAATTTGATTTTTTTTTTTCATTTCGTTTCTTCTTTCATAAAACTACATTACTGTTCCTTCTAGCTTTTGAATCTGGTTTATAAATAAGAACATACCACAGCAAAGTTCTTCTTAATCATAGTTTATCTATATATTAATACGTGAACCAAAAACTTTGTATCCCTTTTTACGAAAATTGCGCGGACGGAGGAGTATGAAATTTTCCACACTTAAAGAGAATATAGAGAAGAAGTGCACAATGCTAATATTTTTTTAAATAATGCATAAAAGATACATTAAATCAATAAAGAAAACATTACACACACTACATACCATGTATTTGACGCACACACGCATGCATACTATTTATTGTCAAACTTTTGTTCTTGACGTCTGTTGTCAAATTGAGAATACATTAAATATTGTATTGTCTTTATTAATATTTTTTTATAGTGTAGCCTTGACGAAATTTGTGATTATAGAAGTATAAAATACAATCATAATAGTGGACAAACTTACAATTCCAATTATAGTCGAATTTCGACTACTGCGGGACCTATAGTACCTTTAATTGTTTAATTAAAAAGTATATGTATGTATATATATGTATGTATATATGTGTGTGTGTATTTGTATGTATATGTATTGTTTTGTATCTGGTATTATGTATATATTATTATATGTAATGTTTACTGTATGCACTAAGTTAGTGTTCCTAATTCTTCTTTCCTTCTGCTGGCGTACTGGAAGAGATTTCAACATGAAACAAGTAGTGCCCCCTTGTACTCTGTATCCTTATTGTCGTGTTTCTTCTAACAGCTGTCTGTACAAAATATATTAAATAAATAAAATTGTGAGACTTACTTATTATGAGCTATGAACATTGTGAACTCCGAAGTTGTTAAAAAAGAATTCTTTTTTTTTAAAATAGTCAAGGTAATCACAATAAAAAAAAACGTTTTTTCTTTCTTTCAGAAACACACACAAAGCTTTCTACTGGAACAGCGCCACCTAGCGATGACTTATATTACTACATTTTGGTTCAACAAAAATATTACTGGCAGCACGCATTTGATAATTGCCGTAAAATGAACGGAAGCTTAGCGAGTGTTGAAAGTAATGATGTTCTAATACAATTACTTCTAGTTATGGGAGAAAATAAGAATAACCGTAAGAAATTTTATTTACTGCCATCTATGGACGAGTAGTTAATAATTTAACTTCATTTCATTGCAGAGTTAATTATGTTTAGAAAATTAAAGAAATTTTATATACTGCCATCTATGAACGAGTAGTTAATAATTTAGCTTCATATTTTCATTGCAGAGTTTATAATGCTTAGAAAATTTTATGATAGAAAATTGAAAGTATTCTAGTTACTATTACTCGCTATTAAATAAACAAGAGATTTAATGTAAGTGATTGTAATCACTATGTTAATATTTACTTGAGATTGTTTTTTTAAAGCCGTGGAACACATTTGGGTATCTGGCCATTTGAATATCACAAAAGACATTGCAACAGACGCAGTAACATATGCCTGGTATAACCCCAGTAACGGAAAACGATTGCCGGATCCAAAATCGTTTGCGGATAATATCGGATTGTTTGTAAGCACATTTAAGAATAAAATCTTTACCTACCTTTTTTTTTATTGCTTAGATGGGTGGACGAGCTCACAGCTCACCTTGTGTTAAGTGGTTACTGGAGCCCATAGACATCTACAACGTAAATGCCGCCACCCACCTTGAGATATAAGTTCTAAGGTCTCAGTATAGTTACGACGGCTACCCCACCCTTCAAACCGAAACGCATTACTGCTTCACGGCAGAAATAGGCAGGGTGGTGGTACCTACCCGTGCGGACTCACAAGAAGTACTACCACCAGTAAAAACTACCTACCTACTTAATTTAGATAAAAATGTACAACGCCAGTATAAAAGTCAGTATATGTCCGATATGAAAATGGCGCCAAAATCTTTCAAATCAAAAATCTCTAAAATTGTGTAATAATTTCTTAAACATATGTTATAATTATCATTTCTAAATTAACTACATAACATTATTTATTATTTCAAGATATTTTGTTTTAACAGTTTGAAAATAAGTTCAGTTTCAATTTGAAACAATATTCAATTGTTTTGTCAATTTCCTATCTTTAGATGCCGCCGTGGCTTGACACAGAATTCACGATGGACGCGCCTTGCTTGAATTTGGACAGGCAAAATCATCTCTCAGCTTTAGTGTACGGTCTCGCATGCGATACCCCGCAATATTCTATTTGCATGATAGGTAAGATCCTCATTATGCCATTTGGTCACAATTAAGCGAATAAGTAGGGAAAAAAAAAACACTTGTTCACTCCATCACTGAGATTGGTTATTTAAGGGATTTTATGACCTGGTAACTAAGACTTTTGGGTCATGTCTTATTTTAATTTATATTCTTATTTTTATGAAAAATGATAATATGGAGTGAAATGAAATGAAATGAAGATGATTAATTTGAGACATTAATTAACTGGTATGAAATGAAATGAGATGATATGGGATGAAATATAACTCATAAATAAAATGGTGGCCATTTACTGAGATTTTTTCAGTGGACTTTTTGGAGGATCCCGAGAAATTACGTTCAGCGGCTTTGTTTCATTTTCCCACATTTGTGCACTTTCACAGATATTAGACAGTTAACAAACCACCATTATTACACATTTAAACCTGAAGAAACACCAATTAGACAAAATAAAATAAATCACACAACTTCACTCCTCGCGTTCCCGCCAAAAAGTCCAACTGCGATTGGAATATCGAATTTTGAAAGTACTTTCTTTTATTTAGTAATTTAAGATATTGGAGGGACGTTCGCTGAATTATCCGTTTGGTAGTAGCACTGGTGTGAGCAACAACCACCACCTCGCCTATTTCTGTTGCGAAGCAGCAATGCATTCCGGTTCATTCGGTGGAATAACCGTTAGCAAATTGAGACGAAGACCTCATGCTTCAAGGTGGGTGGGAACATTGCCGTTGTTGGTGTCTATGGACCACACCAATCACTTCAAGGGGTGAAAGGCGGTTTAAGCGACATTTCGCTTAACACTTAACATTTATTTTTGTAATTAAAGCTCCGTTTTATTTGGTATTAATTAGCATCAACAATTCGATGTTTTTAATTGAACTTCAATGAAGTTTAACTCCATTCAAATAGCCGAAGATTTTTGTGTTATGATTTTTTATCCAAATTCTAAGCTATAAATATATCTTCTGTAGAGTTGCGAAAATGTCACATAAACCAAATAACCTTTCACTCCTCGACTTAAAACCAAGTGCGCAGTGAGATCTTATACCTTAAAACGAGCAATTCTTGTATATATATTAATATATATATAATCTGAATCTCGGTAACGGCTCCAACCATTTTCATAAAATTTAGTATACAGGGGATTACGGGGGCGATAAATCGATCTAGCTACGATTTATTTTCAGAAAATGTTGTTCTATTCGTGTTTTCAACAATCAACTCTTCCCGACATCTATCGGCGAATAATAATACTATTTTTCTTAGTTGAGGGCAACTAACCGCTTTAAAGACACAAGATAGCGTTATCAAAAAAAAAGTAATCCTTAAACGCGCTAATGCCTCAATACACTTTTATAATAAAAATAAAACCAATTTACAATTATTTTGTTTTTTTTTATTGTTACAGAAAAAACTACATGGACTACAGGACTACTAGATTATATTATGAAAATTCCACCGATAGACAAGATGTTTGAATACAGTAACCGATTATAATATTGTCTTGATGACGAGAATATAAAGGTCGGATCTACTTTGTATATTAAAATTCGCTTTTGCGGAATTCAGTTTTTGCAGGGTTTGATAATAACTATTATGTGAATTATAAATTTTTTCAAACCATTCTTATATTTTCCTTGGTATCCGGACAGACTATTTTGATTGAATATTTAAAGTTTCATGAACTTTTTCGCACAGCTGTTCATATTCAGAGTAATGAAATGAATTCAGATGTAGATCCTTCCGCCTCTCGTCCTGATAACATGGGACAATTGCAAATTTTCAGAAATATGATGTTACTTCCATGCATCCACACTATTATCTCTTGATACTACAATAATTACAAAGCTGCTGATGGTCATCTAATTACATGTAAAGAGTATTGTATACACATTATTATTATTAAAAAGATTATGGTTTATTACCATTAATTTTAATGTATATTTTAATAAAATGTATTCCATTATACATAGCCATCAATATTTTAAAAACCTTTCCCGTAATATTATGAAAATTAAATTTTAGTTATGACTGTTCACTTAGTAGACTGACTAGTATTACATGATATATTTAGTGACAATCACATAATGCAGCTTGCTTTCAGTAATAGTTATGAGAAAATAAATAATGTTAATCTTATTCTTCCTATTCGTACACTCTTGACAGAGTGATCGTGGTCATGCATCAGTCGGATCCTACGATGCGACGCCATGTGGCACGATGTTTCGCAGAGTGAGAGCAAACATTTATGTTGGAGTGAGTCACAGATTTTATGAGGTCGGTCCATCGTGTTGGAGATCGTCCGTGAGATCTTTTGTCCTCGACTTTCCCTTGCACCACCAACCGCTCAATGGAGTCCTCATTACGAGTGATGTGCCCGAAGAACTTGAGGATTCGTAATCTTATATGTCTATTAAAACTATAAATATTCTAACACCAATGTTAATTTTCAAGAGCAGACTCAATACATTACAAACTAATAAATGCATTTATATGCAGCAGAGATAGCTTTAACATAGACACTGTCAAGTAAAAAAAAGTGTAAAAGAAAATGCGGCACACTCAATGCCTATATTTTTATTCTTGTGTTATCAAACACATGCCAGAAAGAACAAATACAGACAGTGACTGCAATTGAAGCTTTACTTTCTGATACACTAGACATATCTTAGGTAATTGTAAAAAACGAGACATATATATGACTGCTTTTCTAATAGCTACTGCCATCTACTTTCATAAGAGATTCTGGGAATGTCATATTACCGGTGGTAGGTTGTGTTTGTAAGCACTTATGAGCAGGTAGTAATGTGTTGAAGGTTTGGTACAACAACTGGGACTTTGACCTCTTGTCTCTGGATGGACAGTATTCTTATTGTGATTTCAATTAGCTCCAGTAACCACTGTACACTAGGCTTAAGTGAGTAGTGGACTGCTATTCAGCTTAGGAAAAAAAGGGGTTCTCAAAAAATCCCAAAAAATTATCAATATAGAATACATATTGTTGGGGCAAATAGAATTTCAATGGCAACACCCAAAAAACTGACTAGAAAAAGGGTAGACAGATGTGGTAGTTTCTATCATCGCACTCACAGTCTTCAATCTACCCATTGTCATGGGACTTGCAACATTATTGAAATATGGGATCCTATTAAAACTAAAAAGTGGAATGAACCCAGTATTTATAAGTATAAGTACTTGTTATTTTAATATTTTGTGAAATAATACGTAAGACAATGCGAGTGCAGTTGGTAACCATCCCCATTCATTCATAACTAGATTCAAGCAAAGAACATTATGCATTTTTTTCTTTTACTTTCTTGGTACTGTTAGGTTTTTAGGAATCACCGACACTACTAGACACTAGATGTTTTTGGGAACGGTTCCAATACACCCTACGTCCTGAAGTTGATTTACTCTCTCCTGAATTCCACAACTTCTTGCCACTGGCGGTTGACATCTTCCAAATCTCTGTAGTTGTCATTCATAGCTAACAAGTTTCGTTTGACATTTCTAATGTGTTCTAAATAAGCCTGGAGGCAGGCATTCAAGGCCCTTATGGATTCCAGCTCCATAGGTAGCTCGGCTGCCTTCTGAAAAGAAAAAGAAAACTATTGTTATGTTTGCTCTAGATCTGCTATTTTTTTTTTATTGCTTAGATGGGTGGACGAGCTCACAGCCCACCTGATGTTAAGTGGTTACTGGAGCTCATAGACATCTACGACATAAATGCGCCACCCACCTTGAGATATAAGTTCTAAGGTCTCAAACAAAGTTACAACGGCTGCCCCGCCCTTCAAACCGAAACGCATTACTGCTTCTCGGGAGAAATAGGCAGGGTGGTGGTATCATTCCTGATAATATGCTCCGGGAACCACTTAACCACCAGGTGGGTCGTGAACCACCTATCCATCTAATTATAAATAAATATATACATGTAATAAAGCACAACTATTGGACACAAGACTATGAAAATAGCAAAATATACTTAACATGCTGTATCGTTGCTAGCATAAGCTCTTATCAACTTAACATAAGCCGCAACTAAGTTTACTTGGTAATTTAATGACGTAGAGACCCAACTTTAGTAATTTTACTTTGATTTAAATGTGTACTTCAAACCAAACAAGATCGTTAGAACCTTTTCTTAAATACGTTAATTACATGGAAGTCCCTACTACAAAATGGCAGCTGGTCATCACGAAACCTAGGCTATGACAAAAATCTGCGAATTTTGTAAATCTTTCTGTTAAGCAATTAATTTATTTATGCAATAATAATTTTTAGAACTTACATCTCGTTGGCTTAGGGAAGTTTCTGAATTATTCGACATATTTAATACGTATTCGTTCTGATTTATTGTAATTGATTTTTAACTATTCAGTTAATAGTAGACTTGAGTATTAATACTCAGTTTAGTATTGTGTGAGTATTAAACACACAATATCAACAACAACAGTTGAATTGGAATTGAAATTCAAATCTAAATCTGATAGCTCCGCTTCCGGGCGGCTTCCGTCAAATCAATAATTACTTTCTTTTTTAGTTTCCGACCATTGCTCACTCGACTTTTAAGCCCAAATTTTGAAATCCTAATATCCTTAATAGTATCGTAATGTTGATTGAATAATGTAAATTGTATAATTAGTTTTGGCGTAAGCGTTGTTACAAAAAACATCATACAATTTTTATACATTTTTATTTAAATACTTAGTTCTTCAATTAAGTATTAAAATTAGGTTTCAAATTTTTTTGCTAAAACACAAGGAATGTGGTCGTATAATATACTGTAATGTGAATACTTTGAGTTCCCAATTCACTCTCGGTGCTTATAGGCTAAGGCTTAAGTGCACTCCAGACACCGATCACCATCCTACTCGATTTAAATAAGTTCGACGTCCAACTTGACTCACGGACACAACTCACTGATTTTCTCGCCGTAACTGTTGGAGTTTGAATGTGTAAGTAATGGCAGGCAACACTTGTTACATGTAAAGTAACAGTTTTCGAATATTAGAATGTTTAAATTTTTAAAACAGGTGATTGTTTTCTCTTCAGTCATGACGAGAAATTCTCATCTAGACACAGACAGTGAAACATCCTAGGGTTATATAAACATAAAATATTGTAAATGTGTAATGTTTGTAATATATAATAACCATGAAGTCAGTGTTTTAAAATAGACCCTCACCTCCAGAGCCCAGTCCCCTCAAATACAGCCGTCTAACAGTAACTTCTCAGTGGGTTGCAATTCCAGTCCGGTGGTAAATTCAACGAAGTGCTATTTTTTCTATGTAGATGGTAGAAAATTCCCACAGGCCAAGCCCCGTGAGCCTGTCTTCCCGTCCGGCAAACCCGAATCTAGACACTCGGGGTTATTGGCGATTAGGAAAAAAATATATACGTAATGGTATAAAAATACTAACTTATCAACGGTAACAGCGAAGTAAATTATTGTCCCTTCGTAACAAGGTGAAACTCAACAAAACTTGCATACGCCCCGTGCGCATGACCTCTGCAAGTGTAGTGTTCGCTCACGCACCTTCAAGCACCTTCAAGTCATTCAATCCCGTTTTTGCAGGATTGCCGTCGGAGCACCATGGTTCCTAAGCTGTGTTCCTAAGGAATGGGGAACTCCATGATGACCTGAAGCTTGACTCAGTCCGTAAGTACAGTCGGCATCATCGCACCACTTTGAAAAGGCAGCACGTCACTAAAACCCTCTTGTGGCCGCCGGGAATTACATACCCGATCCTCGGGACCGAGTAGTAAACAGTCGACGTCACCCTAAGCACGTCATTACGGATCTTCCCGATCCAAAAACGGTGCTTTTAGGTGCCTCAAGCACCGGTCACCATCCTCGCCGAACCTATCGCTTGTAACGAAGGGCTTGACGAGTACATTAACCCATAGACACAGCCCACTGAGTTTCTCGCCGGATCTTCTAAATGGGTGGCGTTTCCGATCCGGCGGTATATTCTGCGAAGCACTGCTCTTGCTAGGGCCAGTGATAGCACACTTCGGTTTGAGCCCCGTGAGCGTAAAACGTTGAAATTTATTTTTTAAAAGTAAAAAAAGGTGATTTTGAAAGAAAAAAACATTTTATGGCAAAAATGAAGGGTAGGGTGCTTTTTAGACTATCTTGTTCTCAGCGGTAGCTCTCAAGAACTAAAGCAGGTTAATCGAGCAATTTTATTAAATTATTGCTTTAACCTTGGTCCTTGAAAAGTGTGCCAAGTTTTAAATCAGTCCGACGTTTTAATGGGAGTAAAAATCATGGTCAAAGATTTCGTGACATTTCCGATTCCAAAACAATCCTGAAACATTTCAAGTTAATGTTAGAATGTCAAAATGGATCTAGATTGCAGGACACGCAAGGCTTTTTAGTGTTTTTACAAAATAAGTATACGTCGTGTATCTTCGTAAATTCTCACTATTTTGCAGAGAGATTTATAGCTTATTTTAGGCTATAGAACGTACTGTCAGCTAATGTGGGTAGGTGCCATGAGACTGTTTCTGTTTTTTTTTTTTTTTTTTTTCCTACTTATGCTGAGAGCCTTGAGAGGCTATATCAGCGTAACCCTAACTTTTGTAGGTGAGCTCACGGGGTTCAAACCTGATGACGTTGCTAACACGAACCCTAGCAAGAGCCGTGCTTCGCAGAATCTACCACCGGATCGGAAACGCGACCCACTGAGAAGATCCGGCGAGAAACTCAGTGGGCTGTTGTTTCTGTCTTAACGCAATCATGTACTCCGAATTGAAGGGTGGACCATTTAATAGGCAATATTCTTAAAACTTGATTTCATGCCCCAAGGTCGGCAGCAGCATTCACAGCTTGTGAACTATGCTGTTCAACCTTACTATTTTTAATAGATATAATAAAATTGTCATTGGAGCTTCGGGTTTTTGACGAATTTCTATTTTCTATTTGTATAGATGTCACTGCAGTATAAAATCATGGGTGATATTTATTGAAAAATACTGTTTGAAAAAATATTTGCTTAGAAATCGATTATGTTTTATAATTTAATACAAATTTATAATCAATTCAGAATATTACCGTTTTAAAAACCAATAAGCCACGTCACTTTTCTGTCACATTTTATCGATTTTAAGTGCAATTTGCGCATGCAATATCAAAACGCATGCGCCCGCTACAGCGCCACCTCGGTAAAATTTGTAAACACAAAGAGTAAAGAGATCCGCCGCCATTTTGACATTTGTTTGGCTTTTGTGTTACCGATTGGAAAATATCATGTAATTAATTGATATTACTGCTTTGAAACTTCAGTTTCGCGAACAGACATTGTTTTTTGTTTGCCGGATGCGTAATTTCCAACATAGAAACCCAAAAGTTTTTCGTCGATCTCTGGAAAAATCGATATTGCTATAGTGCCGCTCTTTTTGTTTCGCGTTGCGAATAATGTGATAATTTCTGTAATAAACTCATGAAAGTTTTGAAACATGACATTTAGTAAAACTTTTTGTGGTTGTGGTGTACTATACGGGTAAATCAGCTTTGATTTCCCGTAGAAAGTTATGCTACAAAAAGGCGCGAAGCAGTTGCGACTATTACATTTGCGAAAAAATAAAAATGCAGGAGTAAATTTAAAAATAATGTACACAAGTACGAATTAAATGCTTAAGATCATTTAGTGCTCTCTAAAATTTTTTAAATATATCCGGTACTGCTTAAATTGAAAAGTATTCTTTTCTGCCAAGAATTTACATGTAAGTCTAAAACTTAATTTTGTATTTTTATACATAAAATAAAAAGACCCATTTGTAGATTTTAATTAAATTAACAATAAAATGATCTAATTATAATTAAACGAAAACAGCAATGGGTTAACTTCTTCAATCCATCTAATTAAATAAAAAAATTGTATTGCTTATAAGGTTTAATTAAAAATTTTTTTAGGCGATTGTCAGATAAAATTACAATACGCCAATATTTTACAACAAAATAATTCATTTAAAGTAAACCTTCCCGATGTTTAGAGAACTAAAATAGTAGTAAAATAATAGTGGTAATTTCATCTAATGCTATAAAAAAAGAGAGTTTTTCATTTCTGTTTGTAAATACCATTTTGCAGGTTAAGTTTACCTTCATACCTGCAATGCGGTTAAGAAGTAGAAAAAGAGAGCGCCCGCTCTCAACGAAAGCAACATCAAGATCAGCCCAATTAACGAAGTGCATTGTCAAAAGTCTTCCAAAACCAACCAACACTTGGAGGAAGGTATTGAAACACGATACAGTTAAAAATGCCCTATCTGACTACCACTGTGTTACAAGGTCACAGAGATTGAAAACTAGACCAGTGAGAACACCTCGCAGCATGGAAAAGCCAGTGGAAATACATAAACCTCGCCCGAAAATCAAAGATGTTCCGAAAAATACTAAACCGATCTTTCAAACAGTGGTTAGGCCTAACAAAGACACAATGACTCCGTCTACTATCATAAAAAAATCACACAATGATAAAGTTTCTACAACAAAGAAGGAGGTTACCACTACCAGAAGTGTTCAGCTACGTCACAGTTCTCTGAACCGTGAATTGAGAAAAAATGAAATATCATCTGCAATCTCTTCTCCTAGGAAAACAAAACGCATTGATAACAAGTCAGTATCATTAAACAATTCTCCGATACGCAAAGTCCGTCAAATAGGCTTATCAAGTCCAAAGGCCATCAGCTCAAACAACGAGAGCCCTAAAAAGAAGACTAAGAAAGCACAAACCGAATCTCCCAGTTGGTCAGATGAGAATGACATTACAATGTACGAACCTCACACAACAACCTTTGTTGATTTCCCAACTTCAAAGTCTGAAGAATCTGACTCTGAAAATGTAGAATCATCTGAGCTATGTCTTCCAAATGACTGTTTGAATGATTTCATCGCAATTGCTGACTGTGAGACGCTCATCAATCTGCCGGCTAGCACCGATGATGATATTAATTATCTGGCTGATAAAGCAGCTAGGGTAATGACAACTGAAAAGGAAGAGAAGAATGTAAGTAAACATAAAAAATCAATAAATTAAAATTTGTTTAAAGTTGATTGAATTTTCAAATTCTTATTGATAATTCTTACTTTCTTTTGCCTTTGTTATTATACTAAGACTTTATCAAATCAATCAAATCAAAAAAAAAAAATTCAACATAAATGAAAGTACATACTTGTTGAATGTCAAAAAGAACTACTGCCAATTCACCAAAACTAGCCTCCGTAGTAAAACTCATATCTCAAGGTGGATAGTGACGTTTACGTTGTAAATGTCTATGGGCTCCGGTAACCACTTAGCATCAGGTTGGCTGTGAGCTCACCACCCATCTATGCAATTAAAAAAAAAAAATATGTTTTTCAGAATATATCAAGGTCAAATTCAACAGAAAAGAGGCTGTTGAAACGCCGAAAGTCTAGCAATGACTTGGAGATGTATCAGCCAACATCGACAACTGACGACCTGGACCCCTGCACTGAGTTCCTTGCTAATGGAGACAAATATGTCCAGGTGTGAATCGTAGAGCAAAAATCGAGTTTTGAAAACGAAAAGCAAATAATTAAGATTTTAAACGTACCTGGTTTTAAGAACAAATGAGAAATGTAAATTTTTCCGTATTGAAATTTTTTTGATATTTTTTTAATTTTGAAACCACAAGGTGAATCAAAGAGTTGATTTATATTTAAAAAATTACAACATTAAATGTGCAAGTGACTAATGTGGCAGCATAGTTTAGTTCCATGCTATTACAGCTTTGAATTGAAAAAACTGAGATACATTAACAATTTTCTTTTAACGTAATATTTTATTTATTTGACGAAGGCACTTTCAATATAGTACTGGATAATTATATTCCCCAAAGGAGCGGATCACTTCAGATCAAAATAATGAGCATTGTGGTAAATCCCATTGCGAAATACTCTAACACTAGTTAATATTAAGGAAAGTGTATAAGTAATAAAAGAATTTATCTTGACATTAAGGATAGATGGTCTTAGACGCTGGAGCTACAACGAATTTCATTTTCTCTCAAAACGACCATCACGGTTTTCTGACTCCAAACATACTATCGTAATAGTTTAATTCAAATCAAATAAAATAATTTTTATTCAACATAAATGAAAGCACATACTTGTTGAACGTCAAAAGAACTACCGCCAATTCACAAAAACTAGCCTCCGTCCTGAGAAGAATTGGCAAGAAACTCAGCGGTCATGCCTTTTTTTTTTAATATTAGATTTATTTTTAAATATTCATTTTTATAATGAGTATTATAACGTAACAATTATTGCAATATTAAAATGCCCAGAGCGAGCAACTCATTTCCACTTTGTGCAATCTTCTAGATATTCATTGACTTTGTAGTAAGCGTTTTAACTTTGTCCCCAGAAATTTACTCAATGAAGTGAAGTAATCATGTTGGTATTTCGGATACAGGAGGATCTCTCTGCCCTGGACGAGCGTGATGGGTACGTCCGTTCTTCGGAATGCGAGATATCGTCGACGTGCTCCCAGGGCGGCGCCATGGAGCGACTGCGCGCCCTCTCCGCACGGAGCCCCACCACCGCCTTCCTCGCTGGCATTACACACAGCCTCAACGATGACACGCATGCCTGGGTAACTAATATTCTCTAAAAGAAACACAGTTACTGATGCATTACATAGGTATTCATGTGTCATGAGAAATTCAACTCATTGAGATTTAAGGAAAATATGATTGAACACTTGATAGGAGAATGATTATACTACCACTAGTAACTGTCATCAATGAAGTGAATTATAAATGAGTGGTAGCATAATCATTCTCCCATCAAGTTTTCAATCATATTTCTGCCAAGTCTCAGTGAGTTGAATATCTCGTGACACCCTCTATATGAACCTAATAAACTGCATAACATTTTAAATGTAAAATTTAGATAAGCAATATATTGTTCACAGAATGGAACCGATTTAACAGCAGATGAGTCTTCATTGACTTGTCACGATGAGCAAACGCCCACTGACATTGAGGTTGGTAATCTGATTATAATTGCCTTTTTCTTAAACAATAAAAACAATTATGAGAGGTAATTTGTAAAAAAAAAAATGTTAATTAAAGCTATTTTATGAACAAAGGTTTTTTTTTAAACTGCCAAAAATATGGCAATGTCACAACTTTTTTATGACTACGCTTTTATTTGCTTCAGACGTATCTATGTAACGGAATCTTTGAACATGATTTTGACCCCCATCAAAACGTCGGATTAACAATAAAATGATTTTTTCTTACACTATTTTTAATTAAAATTTACTAAAATTTACTAATTTTCTATTTTTTAGTTGGATTTTCTATAAAAGCGTATTTTGTTAGTTTTTTTTTAAACTATTATTTATTGAAATTGTTCATCACACTACTAGTAAGAACTTGTGTTAATCTATTTATTGGAGTTGGTTGGTTGTGATTCAATCGTAATCAAATTGTAAAGCTTAAATGAAAATGTTTTTTGATGGAACATGCTTAAAAATGCTTTTTGTTAAAATATTCACCTCTGTCTATTTATATTTTTAATAATAAAACCATTCTTTTGAAAGGAGGAAGCAGCCGATGTGATATCATCTTGCAGCAGTCGGGTTGATTGTGAACAGATCTCTTCATGGGTAGATGCCTTTGATCCCTATTTGTTCATTAAACAGGTAACTATTCTAATACTATTCAATATTTATGATTCTGACTTGCTTTAACTGGATAAGAGAAGCCGAGGATCGTGCTTACTGGAATGCAAAATATAGGAGACCTAATTTTTTTAAATTTTTTTTATTGCTTAGATGGGTGGACAAGCTCACAGCCTACCTGGTGTTAAGGGGTTACTGGAGCCCATAGACATCTACAACGTAAATGCGCCACCCACCATGAGATATAAGTTCTAAGGTCTCAGTATAGTTACAACAGCTGCCCCACCCTTCAAACCGAAACGCATTTCTGCTTCACAGAAATAGGCAGAGTGGTGGTACCTACCCGCGCGGACTCACAAGAGGTTCTACCACCAGTAAAAAATCCAGCAGTAGACTGCTATTGTAGACTGATGTCATCATGATGATGATTTAAGCTTTGGATGTTTCATGCGTAGATTGACCCTCACTCTTTCGCCCAGCGTTCACACATCAAGCTGTTACTGAAAAACTTGTCTTTATTTCAGCTGCCACCATTGGAGACAGTGGCCACGGGGGCATTACGAGCGCGTTATCCAGCATTACCACTGAAGACCAGAACCAGTCCTGACTTTAGCTTGGTAAGTACACATGATAAAAAAAAAAAGCTAAGTCTCGGTTTATAATAAATAAATAGACCCAACCTTAGGCCGGAATATATGAATGTGTCTGTGAATGTCATTGTATCTGAGAAGTGTCAAAACATTTTGATAGGCTATCCATGAATCCACTACAATTGTGATTTTCATCTCATTTCTGTATGCATTTTTGTAAGTATTGAATTATTTGATGCTTAAGTATGAAGTGAGAGTGAAGTTAACCGTCTATTATTGCCGAAATCTATATATTTTATAACATCACTGGCTCCAATAAAACTATATCCTGTGTTAGGTACTTTATTGATTTTTAATGGTATGAAATGCAATGATGCTGGCCATCGTAACCACTCGGCAACAGATACATTAGAAAGTAAATACAAATCTCTGTTGTCAGGTTTTGGATTTGGATGAGACATTAGTTCACTGTTCCCTTCAAGAGTTGCCGGATGCCAGCTTCCATTTTCCAGTGCTGTTTCAAGATTGTCGTTATACTGTAAGTATCTTTGATAAATGTTTGTTTGCCTAGTAAGTCAATAATATAAATATCATTTTTTTTTTTTTTTGGTGCATAGCAGTAATGCACTTAAAGATTGGGACAGCTGTTGTATTATACAATCAAGACTTTGTTCTCATGTTTCAAGGTTGGTATTCACATTATCTCAATGGCTCTGATTAACTATTTCATAATGGGTAGGTCGGGCTATTATACTATCAATGTGCTGAATAAGCAGTACATGTTATATTCTTTCATTACTCCGCTAATTTGCTTGGACAAGCAGTGTAGAGTAATATAAAACTTGAGGTGGCCTCGTGGGTGTGAGACATACTTACAGTCATCCAGTCCCAGTGCAGTCAATCTCAGTACAGCAACACAGTGCAGTAAAGCCAGTTCAGTCTTAAAGTTCAGTCCTTTTGCATAGAGCCCAGGGTGGGCCTTAGCCTGGTCCAGTATGTCTCTCCAGACTGCTCTGTTCAGGGCTTTTTCCTTCCAGTTCCTGACACCGATAACTTTAAGGTCGCGCTCCACGCCATCCAACCATCGAAGTTTGGGTCTGCCACGACTTCTGTGGCCCTCTGGTTTGCCATAGAGCAGTTGTCTTGGCATTCTGGTATTCTCCATTCACATAGTGTCAGACCATAATAAAAGGACTGAAACAGAGGTGTTATACAAACGTTTTTTTGAGCGTTCTTGAATAAAAGTGTCGTAGAAAAGATTTTTTAAACACTGACGTCACCCGTCTCTTTAACGTGAGCTTGTTCATTCATGTAAGCAATATACCTATACAAATATAACAGGTGTTCGTTCGCACGCGGCCTCACTTCGCGGAGTTCCTGTCGCGCGTGTCTCGTCTCTACGAGGTCATACTGTTCACGGCCAGCAAGCGGGTGTACGCGGACCGCCTGCTCAACCTGCTCGACCCCTCCCGCCGCTGGATCAAGTACAGGTGCGTGGGTCGCGGGCGCTGGGGTCAATGACCCCCTGCGAGACGAAGGGATGTGTGGCCTGGTAACTAAGACCTTTAAGTCATGTCTTATTGTGATTTATATTATTATTTTTATGAAAAATGATAATATGGAGTTAAATGAAATGAAGATGATTTTAATTTGGGACATTAATCAACTGGGATAAAATTAAATGAAATGAGATGAGATGATATGGGATGAAATACTTGTTGTACTTGTTAGGGTTACATTGAAATAGCCTCTCAATTCCAAATAAAAAAGTGTAAATTGGAGTGCACTTTTTAATTTACTCACGTTTGCTGATGTCATTGGAATAACAGTCTGCCTCATATACTGCAGAATATAGAAGTTTTTCATAAGGCGTTCATTGTGTGTGTGTGTCAGTAATCTATACATATAAATAAAATTGGAGTGTCTGTTTGTAATATTGCAATAATCGCTTTTTATAACATGTATATGAATATATATACGGTACATACACCAAAATAACATTTTTTATAATTTTTGTCTGTCTGTCTGTTTGTTCCGGCTAATCTCTGGAACGGCTGGACCTATTTTGACGAGACTTTCACTGATAGGTAGCTGATGATATAAGAAGTAACTTAGGCTACTTTTTTTTAGACTAGCTTCGCCCCGCGGTACGACAATAACCGCGGGTGACATCGCGGGACTCAGCTATCAGTTAATAAAATTTAATGTTTCCGAAGCGAAACGAGGGCGGGTCGCTAGCTAGGCTATAAAATCAATAAATGACATGTATGAGACAGACAGACAGACAGACAGACAATCAAATTGTTTTTTTTATGTGTAGGTTGTTCCGGGAACACTGTCTCCTCGTGAACGGCAACTACGTGAAGGACCTGTCGATCCTGGGCCGCGACCTCCGTAAGACTGTCATCGTCGACAACAGCCCGCAGGTCATTGAACTCTGCTTGTTCATCACCGACTGTGACGTACAGTAATGACAATAACAATGTCTGATAAAACACCGTATTTGAAGTGTTTTATGTCGTAGCCGTATATAAATTGCATGAAACATTTTTTTTTTTTCTAGATTTGTGGACGAACTCACAACCCACCTGGTGTTAAGTGGTTACCGGAGCCCATAGACATCTACAACGTAAGTGCGCCTCCCACTTACAAATATAAGTTCTAACGTCTCAGTATAGTTACAACGGCTGCCCCACCCTTCAAACCGAAACGCATTACTGCTTCACGGCAGAAATAGGCAGGGTGGTGGTACCTACCCGCGCGGACTCACAAGAGGTCCTACCACCAGTGAAAAATAAAATAAAATTTAATTTGTACACAGGCGTTCGGGTATCAGCTGGAGAACGGCATCCCGATAGACAGCTGGTTCGTAGATCGGAGTGACAACGAACTGCTGAAGCTCTTACCATTTCTTGAGCATCTGGCCACGGTGAGTGCGCTGACGATACTCACTAAGGTCTGTCTATATCCAGGAACCAATAGACGAAACTTGACCGTGAAATTTTTTGCCTAGATGGGTGGACGAGCTCACGGCTCACCTGGTGCTAAGTGGTTACCGGAGCCCATAGACATCTAATGCCGCCACCTTAAGGCATGAGTTGTAAGGTGAGTTAAAATGTCTCTTGTGGAGAGTACTTAACGGTAGGCAGCGGCTTGACCCTGCCCCTGGCATTGCTGAAGCCCATGGGCGACGGTAACCACTCACCATCAGGTGGGCCGTATGTTCGTCTGCCTAGAAGGGCAATAAAAAAAGCGTTATGATGATGACTTATTACCTATTATATACCTATATCCACAAGTGAAAGTTTGTTTGGTTCACGCGACATATTTTCAACTTTAAAAGCCATTTAAAGTTTTGGAAAAAATATCATAACACAAAAGTCATCTTCAGCTAGGTATTTCAATGAAGTAAACTTAATTGAAGTTAAATTAAAAACATCGTATTGTCGATGCTGATACCAAATAAAACGCGCCTTTATTATAATTACAACGATAAATGTAGCTTAAACTTAAAATTAGCTTTTCGCACTTCGATATAATTTTATTGTTTACTAGCTGACCCGGCAGACTTGGTAGTGCCTCAATCGATAAATAAAAGACCTAAACTTTTGTATAGAATAAACTTAAAACAAACAAAAGGAATCCGTCCGACGGGGGACACATCAAAAGAAAAACAAAATTGTTATGTTTATTTAATTCCGAGCATTTTCATATTTATCTACCTTTTAAAACTTCTCTGGACTTCCTCAAATAATTCAAGACCAAAATTAGCCAAATCGGTCCAGCCCGTTCTCGAGTTTTAGCGAGACTAACGAACAGCAATTCATTTTTTATACATTAGTATAATATTATTAATTATAAAGAGGAAAGATTTGTTTATTTGTTTGTTTGTATTGAATAGGCTCCGAAACTACTGAGCAGATTTGAAAAATCCTTTCACTGTTTGAAAGCTACATTATTTCCGAGTGATATAGGCTATAATCTTTTTTGAAAAAAATTAAGGATCCTTATTAAAACTCCAATAATGTAACCTAAGGTGTAAAAAAAATACCTAAAATATTCTTTACATCGCGTGCCCTGCGAAAACTATTGATGATAGAATAAAATAATGTACTACGACTTTGTAGAACACATTATTTACAAAAAGTGTGAGGACAGCATATGTCTAACTATTTATTATAGTTATGCCCCAATAAGTGTTCTTTTATTTAAAAAAATAAAACAACGTCAAATATCGTTGAAAATTTTGTTAAAGACCCGAGCGGAGCCGGAGCGGGCCGCTAGTTATATTATTATATAGATTTAAATGTTTATTCTAAAATTTTACAGAAAGACGACGTCCGCCCCTACATCAGAGATAAATACAAGCTCTTCAGTTACCTGCCGCCGGATTAACTCGAAAGATTGATGTTACAATAACAAAATAACTCGGCATTGTGTAATATACAATTTAAAAACAGTGAAAAAATACATAAAAAAAAAAAATTCGGGCTTATAATCAGACGAGACGAGTGGAGGTAACATACGATCGTCGACAGTGACATTGTATATTGTAACTAACACTCGGTCAGACAAGATTCTCTGTCTCTCTCTAACTCGTAAGTTTTTGAGTACCTTAAGTTTACTTATAAGTAAGTGATATAAAATTTTGTAGATTATTTCTTATAGAGGACTTGAAGAGCCCAATTTAGCGCTGTCACAGCAAAAAGTGTATATTACACAATGTAACGTCTTAAATAAAGTATTGTTTGTTAAAAATTGAGATAAAATTATTGCCGGGCAAAAAATGTGTGAACATCTTAATATCCGTGAAATAAGATTGGATCCTATGTATGCTTAAACAATTATTATTGTTCATTAACAAATTTTATCATGAAAATTGTTTTATAAGAGAAATATCTGTACTAATATGTATTATATTTGTAAGGTTGTTTGTTAATCAATGGAAACAGAAATGGCCGATCATGGATTTGGATGACATTTATATAACAAAGTTAGTTTATAAGTTGGCAGGGTTATCCGGAGACATTCGGGGAATGTTAAAGCAAACTCACCTTCACACACCAACCGGCTCATGATGATGAGGGGTTGTGAGCCCGCACGGGTAGACACCACCGCCCTGCCTCTTTCTGCCGCGATGCAGTAATGAGTTTTGGTTTTAAAACTGAGAGAGCTCATTTTAAGGCGGTCAAAGTATATGACGTCACCTGGGCAACGCCTGGTATATCCGCCACAACGCGCCATTGTTTGTCGTCAAGGCTAATTATAAAAACATTATAAATGACTAGCTGTACCCGTCCGCTTCGCCTGGGCATTTAAAATTAACATTATTATTTCTCACTCCCACAAAGATTCTCATCATTAACGCCCCCGCAACTGGTGTAGGGAGTCCAACACTCATATAAATCCCTATCCGTTAAGTAAATGTATTTTCTACATGGATACCAAGTTTCAAGTCAATCGGAGGCATGGTTCAGTAGTTATAACGGAACATACTTAAAAACCACTGTAGATTTATATATTAGTATAGAAATGGAGATATATTAAAAAGCTTTGTTATTATATGACAGACAGAGATCGCACTATCGCGGGTAGTGACGTCAGCGCCCTCTGACTTACTGACATTAATATAAGCGATACCAGTGAACTACCCTCTTTATTATTTTGTTTTAAACTAAAATTTGGAGAAGTCTTGTGAAGGAACTGTGATTGATTTCTTTTTTTTTTAATTATTATTTTTTGGTACGCGAAACGAAGAGTGAATATTTAAATGTTGCTAGTTACGATATGTGTTGATTGAATTATGAATGTCAAATATCGATCGCGCTCGAAGCTTTTAAGAATGTCTCGCAACGTAAATTGGACTTTATGTCTATACGGCTAGGGTATATTGTCTTTTCGCATTATAAGTGAACAATTTCCAAAAATGTTTAAAATTGAGTTTATATGCGGACTCATTTGATAACATCAGTATTTTTCTCATAAATACTGTCCAAAGACCGTAATTTGGGTTAATTTTGTTTTTTTTAGTTTACCCATGTTTTGACTGCTATTAACAAAATGAATACATAATTTTATCTTACTTTAAAAGACAGATAATGTAACTGGTAAAAAATAAAAAATAAACGTTGCAAATATGATTAATATTAAAAATATCATATGTTAAACCTTTAAAACACTCTCCTTTAAAATTAGCAAATTTTTGAGATTATACAGTTTTAATGCGAGAAGACGATATACTTTTCGAATTTATAATTAAATTGCATGTTATCGAGATGCAGCTACAAGTTATCTTTTGTCTCTTTCGGTCACAATTCGTAGCACACGTGGCTCGTAGCGCTCAAGTGGCTCGTAGCTTACCCGTAGCTCGTAGCGCCTACGTGGTACGTAGCGCACACGTAGCACGTCTTCTTCTACATCAGTGTTTCCCAACCTTTTTTGTGCCACGCCCCACTAAAATTTCTAAAATTTTTATGCATCCCATATATAATTTTTAACATTAAAAAAATTATTTGTTCACTTAAAAAACATAAATGATAGGTTTTAAGGATAAATCACTTTGAAATTGTTGTTATCAAAACACAGTAAGTAATATTAATTTAGTGCGATTGCCCCCCTTAATTATTAAATTGCCCCCTTGTGGGGCGTGCGGCCAACGTTGGGAAAGACCACTCTAAATCTACAATGCCATAGTTCGGCTTGACCCACAATAAGATCGAATCGTTTTATCGATGGATCCCCTCACTAGGGTCCACCCGGGTCACGATGTATCGAGAGATGAAAGGCTATTTGGTTTGAGCGACATTTCGCTTATAAAGATCAGTTTTATTTGGTATTGGCATCAACAATTCCACGTTTTTAATTGAACTTCACAATCAAGCTTACCACAATCAAATAGCTGAAGAACTTTTTTTTGATCGGATTTTATTTTCTAATTTTAACTGTCAAATGACTCCGCTGTAATGTTACAAAAATATCGATTAAACCAAATAGCCTCTCACATCTCGTTATGATCGATCAATCGAACCTTTCCTACTTCGTCTATTGTCGTCACATTTTTTTCTTTACGGACTCAACTTTACCCTTCGGTTCGGCCCAATACTCGAGAATGTTCAATCAGCACAAATCGGGATTGTTACCGTCGTATGGATGGTAGAGGTAAGAAGCACCATCTTGTCGTATAAGGAACAAGTTAAATAAGTCTCCGCAGTGTTCTTAGGTCTACCTATTCCTCTGTCAACGCCACGGCAAGGGAATTGAGTGGGGAGAGCGTCTGTGCCTTGCGGTCATGGAGGGTAGAAATAAGGAGCACCATCTTATATAGGGGACATGTTGAAAGAGTATCCGCCTGTAAACAGCAAGTTATTGTTGGAAGACTCACCGAAATAGTGTAGGAAGTGGAAACGATAGTATGAATATAGTAGTTTTAAACAGAGTTAAGTGTGCCGGGTTGAAGAAAATAATTTTTTTCGTGACTTTGTAGTTTTAAAATATGCAGTATATAATTTCTCAACTATTTATTTAAATAGGAAGTATTTCTTTCCTTCTTTTTTTTTCCTACCTATGCTGATAGCCTTGAGAGGCTATTTCAGCTTCGCCCTAACGTTTGTAGGTGAGCTCACGGGGCTCAAACCGGAGAGTTGCTAACACTGACCCTAGCAAGAGCCGTGCTTCGCAGAATCTACCACCGGATCGGAAACGCGACCCGCTGAGAAGATCCCGCGAGAAACTCAGTGGGCAACTTTCCTTCTTAATTTAATATCCTACTCTAATAGTTTATAGCGCTGTTTTTTTTAAAATCCTTCCACTTGCTACAGTGGCGCCATCTTAATCTACTCCCTTTTAGCAGACACTTTTTAATACACCGATTTGCTGCCCCTTACTTCTACCCTCCATATACCGTCGCAGCGGTGGTGAGAAGCCAACGATCACCGTCATTATGGCAGCCTATTTTTATTTTCGTTTACTATATAATTGGAGGGTAGAGCAGAAATAAGATCATATCTGACACATCCGAAACAAAACGTCACAAGTCAAATATCGGTTCCACAATTTTGAACTGTAAAATCTTAGCTTTTAAATCGGTTCGGCAAATAATTGCGAGAAGAAAATTGAAACAAAAATTTTGTTTGTGATTAAAAACTTGCTACATACTAAATTATTATTTTTTTATGTTTCAGAAAAAAAAATGTTTCAATGCAATTTATTTTCGAAGTATTTCTCTCTAATATAAGCGATGTACATATTTTAGACTCGTAAAAGTGATCTGATAAAACTTTTGATGTGGATCCGATATGGTTGTTTGACTGTGTGTGTTTACAAACGAATTTTTGTATATTGCAATAAACATCTTATTAAAACGTTTTTGAAGGTGGCCACACTAGTGTGCTAGAAAGCGAAGCAAGTCCGGTGAGATTATATTATTATTATTAGCTATATAATATAGCTATAGCTAGCTAATATTACTATTATTAGCTAGAATAGCCCCGTAGGCTACCGGTGAATAGGTAGAAAAAAAAATTAATCCACTTTTTTTTTTTATTTCAACGAAGTCGTAAAATTTTGAAAATCGAACCGGACAATTTTGTATATAGCAATTTTAAATCGCGCGTTCAGGAAGCGGATGTGGATTTCACGATTGCAATTAAAAAAAGAACGATGCAGTAACGCCATCTTGATTTAGTGCTTATCATCGATTTTTTTTGCAATCATACTCATTCTACTCTATCTTCCATAAATGTATCCTTATATACACTTAATTGGTAGCTAAAGGTGCTATTTTTTCATATATATAATTTTTTTTTATATTATCGTACCAAGTTTTAAGTAATGTAAGTTGAAGTTTAATATTGAGTGTTTTTTTTTCTTTTTTTTTTCAATTAGTTACGTGTTACGTCATCGGCAGCAAAGAAGTAAGTCTTATTTTTAATTTTTTTATATTTTATGCTGTCTTTTCTGTTTTACAGTACCCGACAATAAACACTGCACATCGCTCGACCTTTGGTAAGAGACGATCGGCCATTTTCAGCTACGTAGAGCGCTATCTCTGTCGCACACTGTGATGTGTGCGACAGAGATAGCGCTCGATGTGCAATACTTATCGCCGGGTACTGTACCGTTGTTCCAGTGGATAGAATTTAATTTAAAAGCAGCGATATCTCAGTGAAAACAAAAGGCCATTAAGAGACAGAAAAAGTCCACATAAAATTGGTCTGTAATTAATTTTATTTTATTTTAAGCATATACGTGTCATGTGTATGTTATGTTGTAATATATTTAACTCTTATGTGTTGAATATTTTGCCAGATTACGAAATAGCAGCTCGAGATATCTTCTCAACTCTTAGTAGATATCACGATATTCAGTTGGTGTTGTGTTTTAATTATAGTAGGTGATTTTTTTTTTTTTTATTGCCCTTGTAGGCAGACGAGCATACGGCCCACCCGATGGTGAGTGGTTACCGTCGCCCATGGACTTCAGCAATGCCAGGGGCAGAGCCGAGCCGCTGCCTACCGCTTAATACTACTTAATACTACTTAATACTCTACATAATAATAGGTGTGTTCTAATGATACTATCGAAAGGTGATAGGGTTAAATTTCGTCTAAGCGACATTTTTGCAACCTTACAGGAGAGGCATTTAAATTTTGGAAAATATATCTTAATCAAAAAACACTTCACCCCGTCTGGTGTAGTGGTAAGTGACATGGTCACTACACAAGGGGGTTGCGGGTTCGAATCCCGCCAAGGGAAGATATTTGTATGATAAATATAAAATGTCTTTTCCAGGGTTATGGATGTATATTAAATATGTGTATGTGTATAATAAAAATATTACATTTATATCCGTTATCCGGTACCTGTAACACAAGTTCTGTACGAGCTTACCACGGGACCAGTTAACGTGGCATGATTGTTAGTAAATATTTATTTATTATTTATTTTGATTGGAGTAAATTGTATTTGTAGTTTGGGACGTATAACGACAAAGGGAAGATCTTCCACCGAGCGGGTGATATTTGCTCGGTAGACCGACGGTCCGAATATTGTTGTTCGGAACTTGAATTGAACCTCAATTAAGTTTACTCCATTCAAATAGCCGAAGAACTTTATTTTTGTGATGATATATTTTTTCTAAATTTTTATATTTTAAATGGCTCTCTTGTAAAGTTGCAAAAATGTCGTTTAACTCAAATAGCTTTTCACCTCTCGTTATGTTAACAACATGAATGAAACGAATTTCGATTTTCTCGAACTAACTTTTTTTTTTTTTTTTTCATTTACATCCTCGCATCGACTTTAGGGACATTTGCCAAATCTTATACCTTTAAACGAGTAATTCTTGTATATA